GGAGTTTCACCGCAACGCGTTTGGTGGCACATGCCAATCCATGCTCCAGTCGAGTTGCCCAGTTGTGCCGCTGCTGGCAACGCAGCTCGTCCAAACCAACTAAACTAGTGGGCGGATCGCTTTTGGGGCGGAGTGCTTTCGAAGTCCTGCTCAGCAACCAGCGCACCTTTCGTCGTGAAAGCGCCACACCTCGCTTCCTTGGCAGCCAAGTAAATGACAGCTTGCGCGCATACACTTCCCCGATGCGCTCTCTCTCTTAATCGTTATCGCTTCCTTCAAGCTTTGCAGAAACAAAGCAAGTATATCTGGAATAAGAACAGTGTTCTAGGTGTTCACATGGGGTGAATATGACGTTCTCTATGTTGCTCAGGACAATGCTTCCAATACAGCGGAATGTACTTTCAAGGTCAGTTTGCGATGTTCACTTATTTCGTCTCTGAATCTTCGGCTCTTTTGTCACTGTGCTCAGAAACCCGATTCGCTGTTTTAAATTTTGTTCTTCAGTCGGTTTCGTCATACTTTTTCTTATCTCACCTCTTTTAAGATTCATGTATCACGAGAACATTGTCCACAGCTGGAGGAACCTTTGAACGGTGTGCAAGCATGTGAATCATGGGGACCGCAGTTGCGATACAAGGTAATCAGTTATTCGTGCAATTCGACGGTTCTTATGGTTTTGTGTGGAAATAATTTCCTAATGTCAATCATTCCGTTTCAAATCTTTTCATTTTTGAGTCCACTTATTCCCACGTCATTCTGCAGGAGAAAAATGTTCTTCCTCATTACATTAAGCGAGAACCAAGAATCATAAGAAGCTTTTGAGTGTCGCCAGCACTTTTGAAGAGGTGTGATGTTGTCTTCAAGATTGTCGTGATTTGCAGTGATAAGTGGCGTAGTGGTTAAGTAATTGCCTCCAGAAGATTACTAATGAAGCCTTCTTACTTACCTCACGTTTTGAGGGTAATTGCTAAGTGCTAATACAATGTGATCACTAAAAATAGCTCGAGCAGATTCAAAGAAGTTCAAGATTGTATAGATCGGAGTGAATTGTATGGATGTTATCATAAAAATCCCCCATTTAGGCTTGTTCAATTGAATGCCGCGATGGCTACGAGTTTCCTCGACCACCCGCAGTCTTCTACACTTGTGCTGCAGATGGCATGTGGAGACCACGTCTCCGTAACCAGCTGATATTCCGCTATCCACAATGCACAAAGTGGGTTGCTTTTGAACGTTTTCGTTGAAATTTTGTATAAATCGAAGGACTGGAGTATTTCCGAAAGTGTCTAGGAAAAATCAGTTAAATTCTTATTTTAGATCAGTGCCTGCAACCCGTGTGATGCTATTGCGAGTATCGTATCCAGGATCGTCACCATGTTCTGAAGCGAGTCGTGATGCGTTAAGAACACGCTTGATGGCCAGCATCCAAACGATAAATCAAAAATGGGAAATATGCTCTTTAACGTGGGTTATTTCAGAAGATATGTTTTGAGGAAGTTATTAGGAATCCCAGGAATTGGGCGTTTTAATTTTGATATGTTGTCAGACAGCATTTACGATAATGAATACACCGCTGAAGATTAACACGTTGACGACATCGCGTGTTTTGGCATTTTGCACCGCGTGGGACAGGAGCGATTTTGCGAGCGCGCCGTCCTCACCTTACTTCCGCTTATTTTTTGTTTAAAATGCACAACAACTTGAATTCTCATAGAATATTTCGGCAAGGATGAAAGCATAAAGGTTACTATATAAATGGCAGTAGGTTTTTGTTTAGAAGAACGCATAATGACCACGAAGAAGCAAAAAACATCACTTCCGCTGTAAAGTATAAAAGATTTATATAAGGGTTTGTTATCAGGAACAAATATCTTTGATAACTTGCAACATGGTATTAACTGCTTCTACAATCTTACATATGAATGTTTACGATAGTGTAAGAAATGTTAGGAAAGAATTGAAATGAAAGTTCTGTGCGTTCAGAAAATCTTTGCTAAATCAAGGGATATTTGACCACTCTGGCACCATATGGTTTATAGTTATGCTAATGTATTATCTGTAGAATGAATACAAAAAACTCGAAAAGAAGGAGCTCGAGCACAATAAAAATGAATGAATAGTTATGACGCGCATGCGCGTCAGAATGTCCGATGCGGTGCAAAAACTCTGACGCGCATGCGCGTCAGCCTGTCGTCAACGTGATAAAACGGACAGAAGCACTCACAAGAGACGGTTTCTCTAAGATGCAACTTATAAATCCTGGATGGGCCGAACTTCATGGGGTGCCATTGAAGCGGAGTACATCTGAGCATCTATTCAGGGTGAATATCGTGCCAAGGAGGAAGCCAACTCCCCTCCAACCCTACCTAGATGCGCCCTCTATCTCCCCCCCCCTTTCGATGCTATCAGTTATAGGATGATATGACTCATTGCGTCGAGCAAGTGACTTGTGTAACCAACTCCGACTCTCTATGCACTAGAATCAGATTGTATTGTCCTTTTACTGTCCACTTTCATTTAACATCCCACCTCAACGGGAAAAGAGCACCACTCCCTCGCCATTTGGGCAAAGCAGGACTTCTGTTGAGATCTCGTTAATATTTATTCCTGTCACAACTTTCAGAAGAGATCTGCTCAGCCTCCTGTCTGCCTATTTAAACTAGGGTCATCGCTGTGATTAAGAATGTATAGAGTAAATTGAGACCCAGAACTTACACTTCAATGATTGACAAGCATTTTCTCTCTCAACTTCGCAATGGAGTTTTGTAATCAGGTCTACATGAAATGTTTTTGATGTATTTGATGTTCAATAACTGTATCGGGTGGACGCTTCAAATGAGGCTTTACCCCCCTCCCCAAGCTTCGTTTTCGAATTTCTTTTCCAGCGCATTAATCTCATTACGCCTCGGTAACAAGCAATATTTCAAGCAAAATAGGCGACCATTATTGATTTTATTTCGCTATTATTCAGTGATGCCAATGGCTGCGTTGGTGCTCGGGTAGATGTGGGATGTTCAGACGATTTCGCTCGAACAAAGAGAGAGTCGCCATCCTTCAAAGTGCGGATCGAATTGCCGGTGAAGAGGTGGGGCTTTCGGTTTCTCAAATAATAAATGGAATCGGTATAACTGATGGAAAAATAAAATAAAGGATAGAAAGCGCATTTAAAAATTTCTTCAGAGATCCGATACAAAACGCAGTGAGCGGGCAGAAGGCGAAGGTGGTGGATGCACTCCAGAACGAAATCATCAACCAAGGCGCATTTAACTTAGAAAAGGTGTCTCATTGTGAAGTATTGCTTGCGTTTTCTTTTTGTGTCTGATATAGGACATGGACGTAGAGTTAAAACTGTTTACTTTCAAGAGGGGCACGAGCAAAGTTTTCAGGTGCTTCCAAACGGTCGTCCCGACCTGACATCTTTCCAACTTTTGGATGAGTTCCATTGTCAGTCCGGACAAGTCACTGTTAATGACGTGTGTGGTGAGTTTTTTTTTTCGAGACCTTATCAAAATCATTGCCCTAAAAATTCGATATTTAGCAATTATTCCGATATTTTGTCCACGAGATCAATCCCTTTTTGGTTCCACCTACAGTGTAGTAGGGGTAGATGGCAGCTGAGTGGCTATTTACGGTTACTCGATCGGGCTGCAGTGAATACTGTGCCTTGGAGAAAACAGAGACTCGGCTCAAAGGCAATATTTACGACTGCTGAGGCAGCGTACAGAGTATGCGATCGTATATGTGATTAGATCAGTTTATAATGAAATGGTAAGTATCGATTAGGTGATTAGACGATCGCTCAGCGGCCAGAGCGAACGATAGTTCCTCTAGACAAATATATTGGAATTTTTTACAAAAAAGTTCTAGGTTCTGCTAGTTCAGTTGATCTCAGTCTATGATGGTGATCCTCCATTCCATCAATCAAAGATTGATTCTTACCCGTACTCGTGGCCCTGGGTTCGTTTGCCATTCCACCTCAACTCGCAGTGTGAGTTGTGCCTCCGCAAGGAACCCTACAGCTCCTCTTTCTCGCGGACAACTGAATGCTTCAAATGTCGCGTTCTGGTCCCATTTACTGTCTGTCAACGGCGTTAATGAGAGCGACGTGCAAAGTGAGTTTATTTTAATGGAAGGCATCTTCATTCAATTCAGTACAGACCACGTTTGCCTTTACTCGCCAATTTGTCTACTACGCCGCGAAATTTGTAAAGATTACTGGAAGTTCCATTCCATAATAAATAAAAATTTGGATTGTCAGTACCGATTTTATTATGCTATAACTACTGAAATTTGCATATCGACTATGTACGTTCATACTCAACTTTTCGGGATCAACAAAGAATCTGCGAAAAGGGGTGGATATGTATTGATTGTCGCGTCGATGAATGACGTTCTCGATTGATAATCAACTTTAACGTATGTACAAGATAGTCATGTCATTCGCACGCATCAGTATTTTTCGCAAATCTAAATTTTTTCTCCGATCAACAGACCAACATCATACCAAAAAATTCGCCATGCCCAGCAGTTTATCGCACTTAAAAAATATTTACAAAATTCTATACTTGAGGGCTTCAAATTTCTCATATTCAAATCTGATTTTTAGAGGATGGACAATCATATTCACTAGTAAAATTTTGTTGTTCTACTTCATTTTCTTATGATGTCTTTTTTCTAGTTGTGTTGTTACGTCTTGGCACAGTTTTGTTGTGTTTGTCCCATGTACTTTTTGTACATGCAAATAATTAAATAAATAAATCTTCTCTCTTTCGTGAGTTTTACGACTTTCTAATTGATTGATGTTCTTTTAGTGAGTTGCGAACCGGGCCACTTCTTCGACATGTCGTCACTGAGGTGTGAACCGTGCGGATTCGGATTTTTCCAACCGCAAGCAGGATCGTTTGAGTGTATCGCTTGTGGCGTCGGCAAAACAACGATGACTGATAAAGCAACTAGCGATGAAGAGTGCCGTGATGAATGTCCAGGTTAATGAGATTCATACATGCAAATGTGCTGTTCCTTGATCGGTACATCACCTCAATGTGCAGCTTTTGACTAAAAAGAAGCTGAAGTCTTGTAGAGGGATGGGCAAGCTTTGATTTGCTGGGATGCCGAATTTCGGAATATGTGCTGAATTTAAATGGGTTGAGAGTGATATGAGAATATGCCGAACTACGAAATCTCGTAAAATTAGCAATTTCAGACGGAGAACAGTTATCTTCATCGGGCTCGTGCCAGTCATGTCCGTCTGGCTCTTACCGCACCCGCGGTGAGCATAAGCAATGCGTACTGTGCCCTCCCGGTAAGTTTCCCGCAACTTTGCTCTGGTCGATTGCCCTAAAAACCGTTGGCTCTTGACTACAACAATGATTACTTTCTATTACAAGTCTTCTTAAGGAACTACCACTGAATCTGTTGGAGCGATTCGTCGTGAGCAGTGCAACACACCTTTATGTAAAGCTGGACAGTTTTTGGTGAAGGAAACGTAAGTAAAACTTGGCTCGCTATAGGCAGATATTGATTATTTGGAGTCCTAAATGTTTAAAACTTCAGGAAACACTGCCAGTTCTGTCCTCGTGGCACATTCCAAGATGAGGAACAACACACAACTTGTAAAATGTGCCCAACTGACCACACAACAGCAGCCCAAGGTAATTTTCAGCTCAAAAAGGCTCTCTCTTCGCTTCTGGCTAGATTCGATGTGTCTTTACCGATGGTAGAAATTCTCATTTTGGCTGTTCTCAAAAAATTCTCAGTTAGCCCGGTCAATAAACGCAATCGAAAACATTTCTGTTTTGATTGGAAGATGATCCCTTGGCGCATTCCAAGAACGTCTTTTCTCACCGATCCCATTGTCCATGCTTCGCGATTAGGAAGCCAACTCCACATCGACAGCGCCTAAAATTGTAAATACTTACGCTTCGAGCACATTCAGATGTTGTTCAGAAAGCTGTTTACTTTCTCTATTTCTCATTTATCAAGTGCTCTTCCATGAATGGGAGAGCAGAAAGTGAAAGAAATTAACTGAGAAGGTTAGGACAACCAAAAGAGCCATGCTTATAAATTAAAGGAATCTTGCGCGGAAAATTCTTGCACTCTTTCCTAACATGAATATGTCAGTTGTGATCACTGGAAATAGCACACAAAGTTTCACGCATGAAGATTCGGTTTCTGAAGAGAAACAAACGTACAAAAACTACACGTTATGGACCATCGAAGGACCAGGAGGCAGAGCCAGGCGAGGCATGGAAAGAAGACGGCGTTTGGCCGGCTACGTACCAGGCGACGCAATGAGAGAATCGGGTTAAAGCGCGCGATTTCGGAGAGTGGAGACAAATCGATCGATGGAATAGGATGGAGTAGAAGTGTAAGATGTGAATGCAACGAAGAAGGCCAGAAAGAGCTTCTAGTGAATGCACTCCAAGAACCAAGTTTGAGCATCCCCGTCGCCAGCATTCGTGAAAGACGTCCGTGGGCAATTCGAACGCGTAGCAGCCTTTTCGAGTTTTCGAATTTCTAATCAAAACGAAAGCAATACTTCAGTTCTTTTCACTATTATCGTGGATAATGAGTCTCAAGCCAGTGATTTATGGCTGAAATAGAATCATGATTTTTCCGCGCAAGATTCCTTTAAGCAAGAGAAACAGATTTGGAGTGTGATTGAAATTAAAGGGTGAGAAGCAATAAACGAAAAGTAAACTAAGTACTTTCTTGGCGTAGAAGGAAGGCATTGGTAGAAATTCATTATCAGATAAAATCAAATAAGCTAATATGTTTAGGAGCGACAGCGGAGTCACAGTGCTATTCAACGACACGGGGACGGTTGGGGAATGGAGTTGTCCCAGTGCGCGGCGCGGCCATGATTGGCGAACAATTGCTGCTACTTGGTGAGACAACGGTGGTTCATGGCATGCTCATTGTATAGATCTCCCAGATGACAACGATGTGCCGTCGTTCCAATGCAAATGCAAGCCCGGTTACCGCGGTAATGGCACGTATTGCCAAGGTGAGCCCTTCACATTAGCCTAGAGAAATGGAATTGAGATTACGCTAAGAACAGTGGTTGGGTGTGTGATGAGCTAAATTGCCTGGAAAAATCTTTCCACTTCTAGACGAGTATAAGTTTTTACGTCAGCAGAAGGCTAAAGTGAGGAAAAACAACAGCAACAGTATTCTTACTCGAACAAGAACAGCCAATATGAATAGTGGCAATAGATGATGGCATCTAGGAAATAGTTCGTGCATTAGAAGACTGAGCAGTAAGAAATCCATTGGAATGAAAATGGGAAGCAATCTGAACTATCTTGCCGCTGTTCTCCAGCTTCTCCCTTCTTTTAATCTCGGCATAGTTCCATTGTCGGAACGCATAGTTCCATTGTCGGAACCGCTATAGAAGACGAGGCGCTTAGTGGGTAGTGCGTAAATTTAAGCCTTGAACCACGTTCAGGCCTTCGAAGACGACGATTTAGTCGAAACGTTAGGCCGCCTAATAAATGTTCCACCGGCCAACCTTGAAAGGCACTAATCAACACACGTGATACCTAGCCAGCACCCGACCCATTGATGACTATTTGATTTAGCTTGCAGTAAGCAGAAGGTTACAAGGTAATGAGCGAGACTGGTTTAGTGGTGTTGCTATTACCTGTGTAGCAAGAGGAGTGAATCGGTTTCTGCCAATTGTTAGTATGATAATAATCGGAGTTTGTAAGAAAAATCCGGTGGGCTATGTGGAATGCGCCTGTAAGGAGAATCTGAACTGAAGCCATCTGTCTTTCACGAGCCGCTGTTCCTACTAGATACACCTCCAATCACTTCCGACTTCTTGGTCGAAGTCGAGTGGGTGATGCATACCAAGGGAGCTGAGCAATTTCGGCCGCTTCATTCATACTTCGAATGTAAGCATGGTTTTTCCTAAAGCGGAGTCCGATTATTTCAAGGTATTGGGAACCTTTCATTACCTAATTGAATGAGCTTACACTAAAAACACTCGGATTTCTTGTATTTTCGGAATCTTTTCACTTGTTTTATTGAATGCACACTGACGTCGTTATTTGCAGATGCCTGCACTAATTACTGCCTCAATGACGGAGTTTGTAAGAAAAATCCGGTGGGCTATGTGGAATGCGCCTGTAAGGAGAACTTCAGCGGTGAACGGTGAGATATTTTGGCACGAAATTTCATATTTTACTCGCATTTT